AAAGATGAGGTGTTTGTGATGGAGTCGCACCCGATTGATCCTCGAGTGATACTCAGCGCTGGTCACGACGGACAGCTTATTATCTGGGATGTGCTGAATACGGAACCGATAGCGTGTTTCCAAAATTTCGTTGAAGGCCAGGGTAATTGTGCTGTCTTCGACGCGAAATGGTCGCCGGATGGTACTATGCTTGTCGCGACAGATTCCAACGGACATCTTTTGATCTACGGATTTGGATCTGGCGTTGAGAAATTAAAAATTGTATGTTTTCTTCTGCTTGTAATCTCATTCACACATTTCGTCTTGTTTCGCGTTATTTAATTTCCGAAATTATTCTCAGATACCGAAAGAGTTATTCTTTCATACGGATTACCGACCTTTATTGAGAGACTTAAATAATTGCGTTCTCGACGAGCAAACGCAAATAGCACCGCATTTGATGCCACCGCCATTTTTGGTTGACGTGGACGGAAATCCGTATCCACCGCTGCTGCAAAGATTAGTGCCGGGAAGAGAAAATTGCAGGGGGGAGCAATTGGTGCCGAATATTGCAGTTGGTGCTGGTGGTAAGATAATGATTTATGTATTTAATACTCGTACGCAAAAATTCCAATCAATGAAGAATAATATTACATGAATGATTTTTGAATACTCTGTATTTCTCTAACATTATTCTTTCTTTTAATTTCTAATGTATACCAAGGATTTTTTTCATTTTTCATTAAAGCAACAAAATAATATATAAAAATTTTGATCAAACAGGAATGCAAGAAGTTATAGAAGGTCTTCCAGAGCAAGAAGCGCCAAGATCGAACATCGATCAACTGATCGAAGCTCTTGCTCAGAGACAAAACATCAATGCGGAAGGTGAAGTTGTTGGCGAAGAGAGGGGGGAGAATAGTATTGCCGAGCAACCGATCCGACAATTGGCGAGTCCTCGTGGCAGCAGAGCTGGCTTGAGAAGAGAAGGTAACGTCGAGGGCGTGCGACAAAGTAGCGGCAATTGGCAAAGGGATAGCAACACGCCGTGGAACAAACCTATTCTCGCGCGCCCCATGAATGAAGCCATCAGAGAGACCCAATGTAGAGCGGTGTAAGTATTACACGCAGTAAAAACTATTGTAGAGAGTCTGAAATAAATTTATCAGCGCTAACATCGACGTTCAAAAAAGATATATCGATTATCAAATTAATTTTCTTAATCATAAAGCTACGCGATGGCCGACATGGAGTTGGAATGCTGGCGACGAGAAATGCGACGGCGACCACAGCCTACGAGCACTGCCGATCAAGGCAATACGAAGAGTAAACTCGTAAATCGCAGACGCAACCGAACTATTAGACACAACTACAGAACAAGAGCAGCGCGCGACGAGGAACAAGAGAACGAAGAATTTGAGGTATTTTATAGAAATAATACGTAAGATTGATAGGTATTATTTGTAAAGATCTACAGTTGATCAAGCGTCGTTTTATGCTTTGCGTTTTTATAGAATGAGCACGCCACGTCAGCGAGTTCAGCCAGCAGCAACAGCAACGATTCCACTGCTCACGAGGAAGATATGTGTTCTGACAGCAGTACTACAGACTCGAGCACCGAGTATTCAGATTGGATCGCGGATCACGGATTGAATTTAGAACCGCCCAAGCGTAGCAAACGTAAACCCGTGAAAAAGCGATCGATTACACCGCCCAGTGATTCAGACAGAAGACGTCCTAGTAGGCGTCCTAAGAAAAAAGTAAATGTAAATCGAAACACGACTCGAATTATTTTCATCCGTAATCCGATGTTTTATCTAAACCCTTCTGTCGCTTTGTTCGACAGGAAATACAAATACTTAATGGAATCCGTGATGTTCCCGAGCTTTATCGGCCCCTGGAATGGCTTACGGAAGTAATACCGAGAAAAGCTCCTTATTATCCGCAGATGGGCGATGAAATTGTGTATTTTAGACAAGGTCATAAATTCTATTTAGATGCAATCAGGAATAAAAAGATTTACGAACTTAATCTGCGGTGTGAGCCATGGACCAAGATAAATCTTAGAGTATGTTTATTTTATCTGAAATAAATGAAAAAAAGATTTCAATTAGAGGACGAGAAATATTTCACATTAAAATCTTGAAGAGCATAGATATAGATGTACTGATGAAAACACGTTTGTTCTAGGCACAAGAGTTTGTAAAAGTAGTGGGTATTAAATACGAAATACGACCGCCTCGTTTGTGCTGCTTGAAATTAGCACTGATGGACGAGAACGGTCGGCTGAGCGGGCAGAATTTCACTATCAAGTATCATGATATGGCCGATGTGTTGGATTTCCTGGTCCTACGTCAGACCTTCGATTCAGCGTTGGCGCGAAGTTGGTCCGAGGGCGACAAATTTCGTTGCATGATCGACGACGGTTGGTGGATGGGGCAAATTGTCGGAATGGAACCGCTGGACGAGGAATTTTCAGATTCACTGTTCATGTGCTTTCGCGTTCGATGGGACAATGGAGAATACGAGAAGATGAGTCCTTGGGATCTTGAGCCCGTTGACGAAGAGAGTGAGTGTTGAGATAAACTTTGAGCTAAATCGAATGAGAAAGCCGTGGAGATATTTCATCCGATGTTTCTAAATGACTCGCTCTAAATTCCGATTATATTACACGCGCTAATCACTTGTTTAGGACATCCCGTAGAAATCGGCGGCGCCGTTCCTGTGCTGCCGGAGGAGAGACAAGCGATACTGTATCAGCCTCATGCGGAAGAGTGGCCCATGGGCGACAGAGAAGCGACTTGTCGCCGAATCATACGAGGCCTGGATCAGGTGATGAGCCTCGCGATCGCTGAACCGTTCGTGGCGCCGGTGGATCTCAGTCTTTATCCCTCTTACGCTTACATTGTGGAGTATCCAATCGACTTGTCGACCATAAAAGCTCGCTTTGATAATCATTTCTACAGAAGAATCACGTCGGCGCAATTCGACGTGAGGTATTTGGCGACGAACGCCGAGCAATTCAACGAGCCGCACAGTCATATTGTGAAAAAGGCGCGAATAGTCACTGACTTGTGCTTGCGTATAATTAAGTAAGTCTTACATATTGTGAAGAATATATTGTTTGCTACTACAATTCGTCAGATTTTCTCTGCTAGTGAACATTGTTTCTTACATCACTACGCTAGTCTTTCTTACACTAGAGAAACCACCGACGTGGATGTTCCGGCGATATACCATCAACTGAACGATACGTATCACTCCTCCGAGTCGGAAATAGACATAGAGGATAGGCCGTCGACGAGTAAACAGAAATCCACGTCGAGTAGAAATTTACGTTCCCAAGAAGTCTCGCAAGACTGGAAGCTAGCGAGTCGTCAATTACTGGAGACCCTGTGGCAGTGCGAAGATTCGATTCCTTTCCGGTGAGCGATATGACGAAAACTTGAATGTTTTTATCTTACGGAATGTAGCCGCTAAAGATATCGATTTTGCAGAGAGCCGGTCGACAGATTGGAGCACCCGGAATATTATCAGATAATCGACACACCGATGGATTTGCGCACTGTCAAGGAAGATTTGTTAGGTGGCAATTATGAGACGCCAACGGAATTCGCCAAAGACATGAGATTGATATTTTCGAATAGTAGGAATTTTAATACGAACAAGCGTTCAAAGGTAAATTGATGCAATGTTCTGCTTCGTTTATAATTTTTTCCTCGAGCAACATTTTCTTGAAAAAAAATATTCTATTTATATTTAGATATATTCGATGACAATAAGACTGTCGGCCTTGTTCGAGGAGCATATACGTAGGATACTGTCAAATTTTAATTCGGCTCGCAGACGTAAAAGTACTAAAGCGAATCCGAAAGCGAAAGCGAAAGGGAAAGGAAAAGGGAAGCAAAAGAGGAAACACAAGTTAAGCAACGGTACAGGTAAGTAAATCAGCTATTGTTCGAGTGAACAATGGATAAAATACGAGTTGTTTTATGCGCAGGACCTTCCAAGTCGAAATCAGTCCCTAGCGACGATGATGACATGAATAGCGAAGACGACGACGACGAAGAGTCTGGTAAAAAATACAAACAGAACAATTCTGACATAGATGCACCTGGTACCTTTCCAAATTGTCACTTTGTACACTTCTATCACGCAAGGAATTTGCCAGGCTTTGAAAATGTGTTCGAGTGTTACGAATAGAAGAATACTTGAATATAATCAGATTCAGCATTTTGCGATTATAATAAGACGAGGAATTAAATGAAGTGTTGAATATTTTTCTCAATCGAGTCGCTCAATTTCAATGCAGATGTTTTTACATCAGTGTACACGAATCAAAATTTGGCACATTCCTTGTGAAATATCGCGTTTAACGATACAAATTTTTCGAAGTTGACAGCAATTAGATTAAAGTTGATTTCTGCTAATCAGTTAAATCTTTCAAGTTATAATTAAATTATTAATATTGATTTCATGCGATCACTTTGTAGGCCCGTCTGGATTAACAAACGGTCACACGAAACGGTCTAGCTTGGGCTCGACTCGGAGCCCGTTGAAGCTACGGATCTGCCGGACGACCGTGTCGAAGAAGATGAAGATGAAGGATAGTGATAGTGAAGACAGTGAATCTGATTCAATATCGGACGTCGAGAGTAGTGACAGTGCTCCTGTCCGAAGAACTAGAGCGCGCACAGTGGCGTCCAATGTTAGTGCCGATACCGATTCCGGGGACGATTACACACCCGGCGGTCGCAGCAAGCAGGTTCGCAAGAATCGCGGAAAGAATATTAAGAACGGTGCAAATCACAAGAAACAGTCCAAACCCAAAGTGAAACCGAATGTCATCGAGGAGGACGACGACGATGACGACGATGAGTATGTTACGGAGGACAAAGCGAACGAGGAAGACGAGGAGGAGCAGTTTGTCGCGCCGGAGTCCACGGAGGAGGAAAGTGAAGTCGAAATGTTTATAAAGAGGGATACTAGATCGCGAAAGCTAGTGACCGAGAGTGAGGAAAACCAAAAGTACACAGTTAAGAATGGAAAGAACGATAACAGCGAGAGCGAAGAGGAAAAGGAGGACGAGGAGCAGGGCGAGGAGCAGGATGAGGAGCAGGACGAGGAGCAGGACGAGGAGCAGGAGGAGGACGACGAGGAGGAGGAGAAGGTGGAACAGGAGCAATCGCGGCATAAAGCTAACAATCAGGACTCGGAGGACAGTGACTATTCGTACAAAGGGTGCAAGTCGCGCCCGAGACGACGGAACCAGCGCGCTTCCGTGGACTCGGAGAACACGAGGCAATACAGCAGCAGCAGGCGGTTTGTAGGTAAGAAGCGTCCCTGCTACAACGAGGAGAGTGACGATAGTACCACGATGCCGCAGAGAAATCGGCGTAAGATCAAGCGTCGTTCGTACGCCGAGGAGAGCGACGAGAGCATGCCGGAGCCGGAACCGGAACCCGGCATTAGTATAAGTAGCAGGGGTCGCATACGTAAAATGACGCCGCGCGCCCGCGCCTATCTTCTAGAATCACCTTAACGGTATCTCTTATGCTAGTAAATGCCACGTGTACATTAAAAAAGATCGTAGAGATTCTGAAAGTGATATCACGCGTTTTGGAAATTGAATTCAGCTAAATAAATATGGAAGTTCTACATTGCAGAAAAGTAAATTTTGAACAGTGAATAATCTTTTTATCATTTATGATTTATCAAAAACGAGTGTCCTTTTATTATTATTTTTTTTTTTTTTTTTGAAAAATTAAAAGAAACGTTAAGTTTTACGTGAGATCTTCAATTTTCTATCGTTTAAAATATCGATTGTGTATCTTCAATTACACATTGAAAAATGATAAATCAAGAAGGAGAAGATAAACAATTTGGGAAATATCCATTTTATTACATTTCTTCCCTTTAATTTCCTATTCATTTTAAAATAAATGGTGTGATACAGCTTTCAGAATCCTACTAATTTTTTTGTAGAAAAAGAATAGGACACTCTCTTGTTTGAAGCGAATGTCCTTTTCTTTTTTTATTATATTTGTCTGTCAAATGATACATTAGAATAATAATTCAAGCGGAAACAGTGTAGTACAAGCGGAAATGGAACACAATACTTTCAGTATTTCAACGATTTTATTTTGCACACTCAATTAAATTCGTAATAATAGACAGATTCATATAAAGTTTCACTCACTCTAAAGAAAGTTATATGAAAAAAATTCTATATAATCGTATTGTTATGCAGGAATAATAATTATCTTGTTATCCATTTTGAAAGTATGAAAGCACGAGTGAGATGTTCACGAAAGTATACAAGTTCGGCACTTAGTTGTGCAGTTGCTTCCATTGATTTCAACAGTTCAGTTGACAAATGAAATATTTTCATGCTACGTTCCATAGAAAAGAATCGTTATAAAATCATGTTATTAAAATATTTTTACTCTTGTGAAAGAAATAGAACCAAGTTAAACAATGCATGTGATGCAGAGTGTTGCATCACTTGTAAAATTTATTATCCAGTTATTATTTTAACAGGTCTTCTCTTCGCATTATCATTGTAACAGTTGTTGAGATTAATATCTAATAATTGTAAAAAGCTTTATTACTTTTTTAAAGATTTTGTGTCGCGAACATCAATGTTTATTTTATCGACGAAAAATTCTCCAAGAAGATGTGAGCTATATGTGTATTAGTAATGAGGTGTTGATTTTCAGTTTCTGCGCATTGTCCGGATAGGATTTATATAATTCTGTGTAAATGATTATTGTAAAATATACACCGATTACCTCCTTAAACAGCGGACTAATTATGTTTTTTTTAATTTTTTTTTTTAATTTATATTAAATAATTTGACATTTGCACAACAGTGACAATAATTTGTAATTAGTATGCAAAGAATCCATATTATTCCATTGAATAACAAAAAATCAGGAACAAAACATCTTTATTGTCTTTATTATTCTCTTTTTTTTTTTCTTTTCTTCCTTCTTTGCTCTTTCAGCTGTCTATCGCGAGCACTGTTTTCGCTTCTCACAACTTTACTTAAGCTTACGACACATCACATTATGAAAAAGAGTAAGTTTTGAGTCTATAAAAATATCTATAATGAATAACTTGTGTATATGATCCCTCGTGCGCGCGCGGAATAACGATTTTTTTACATAGAGTTTGTATATTTGTTACGAATATAAGGGAACTATGGTCATGCAATTTTAAAGTTTTTCACGAAGGCAGATAGACGTTTTTCACGTTTATATAACGCGAAATTGAACCGATTACGCGTTACGTAGCTGTGTAAATGATCATCAGAAGACAGTATGGTGCGAGCACAAATGTATGCACGAACATCATAAGTCTCTCTCAACTGTCTCGAGCCAATGTGATATTAGTTTAAGAAACATTAAATATATATTATAATGTATAAATTACCAATAATTAGAATTATAATAGATATTTTTTTAATGACTTAAATAAGAGCGTCATATCACATATGGACTTGATAATATATCCAGCCTTCGATTAATGTTAATTTAACGATATTAACTTTTGGTCTCACTCTATTATAATCGTATAATTTTGCATATATCGACATCGTATATATATTTCATAAGGAAAACCTGCAGAAATAATATAATTTCGTACATATAAACTCTGCCGAATATACATAGGACTTGATACAGAGTTCTGTTTTATGTACAGTTTTTAACATTTATTCTGTTATGAAATCAGCGTACTCTGTTGCATATTGTACGGTTTTGTGAAACCCACCGCCATCAATTAAAAAAAATAAATAAATTGTTTTACATATATGCAAAGTGCATTTTTATTCGTACCATTAATTAAGGAAATTATATCAATTAAATGGTTTGCATTAAGGTATATTATAGTATGTTAAATCAAGTTTCCAAAAAATTAAATTGTGTATATATGAAACATACTTAAAGATTTATTATTATAAACTTTTAATAGACATCAAATATAACAATGGAACTATTTATAATTAATTAGGATATAATCTATAAATATCTATTAAGGGATATGTAAAATAAAGAATACATTTTTCGGTGTCTATATGTATTCATATAATGTATGAAATATTTTATTTTAATACTTTTCGCTTATACATCTAAATCAGTAATACGAATATTACATGAAGAGATGTTTGTATGCGAAACATGATCTATTATTTTCATAATAATTTATAATTTTATAAAATGGCAGCCATATTTTTGTGATTATGTGATGAAAGTATCGAGATAAAAGGTCGTATTTTTTTTTCAGTCATAATTAGTACAATTTCGCTCTTGCACAATTCCGAACATTTCTATTGTCCATACACTTTTCCTATACCTCTACTTGTTTTCTGTCAACATACCTATTTCAATATAAAAACGGAACATTTTGATTGGAGAGCAACGTATGCATCTATGAAAGATGTCTTTATTCAGAAGATTCTTTCTCGCACTGTTTTCTACTCTGCTAAAAATTGCTAGAATATTTGGAATTTCAATATATAGGTAACATTATCATGAAAACTGTATCGTGAACTCTTGAGTGTTTATACGAATTAATATCGCATAGGTATCGTATACGCCTCGCATCTCGCAACAAAAACGAGACAGCGTAATAAAAATTTTATTTTCAATAATCGATTTGCGCTAAGTCTGAAATGCACTGCATAGTTATATCGGATCTACTTGGGATCTATTTCAGTTGTAGAAGAAAAGTTTCCCAACTAAACAGGACAAATTTTACTCTTTGGAAATCTTCGTTGGAGTCAAGCCCGCTTAAGTCCATGCTTAGATCCATTCGTAATCAATGCTCGATCGATCCTATCCCACGGAATGCCACAATCTGCTGAGTGATACTCAGGCGGAAGATATATATTGCTCTTTAAGCCTACGGAATTCAATCTCCTTTTGCAAGTATTCCTTGACGAAAGGATGTTCTAAGTGAGAATCCTTCAACTGGCTTAGGTAACGGTTAGCCACTTCCGGCGGTTTGCCCATATGCTGCGAGAGAACGACCATATTAATCAATGTATCTGGATTATTACTGTCTTTATCGAGAGCTTCTTGCAAGGCTGTTTCCGCCTCCTCATATTTTGCTTGTCCAATAAAGCAAGTAGCTTGGCCATTCAATAGCATACATGTGCTAGAGTGTTTATCAATCATTTCCTGAAATAATTTATAATTTGGTTAGTGAGAGAGAAATAGGCAAATAAAATAAGAACATAAAGTAGGCAGTTATACAGCTTCGAGTTGATTTTTAATAAGTTAAATTTTTCTTACCTGAAAAATGTAGTAAGCATCTTGCAGTTTCTCGCCACCACTGGTAATGTTCACCCATGCTTGAGCGAGTTGAGTCAAGGTAGCATCGTCGTCCTTCTCCTGCATCGCCTTCAATTCCTTACGAGCCAGATCCAAACGATCCATCTTGAGATATATTTGTAACGTTAGTGCCATGCATTCCAGATGGTCCACATCATGTAATATTCGGAGAGCAGCTTCCAGATTTTTTTCATGATAGTAAATAGTTGCGGCGACAATCAGGAAATTATGATTATAGAGATTTGGATGACTAGCTTCCTTATCAAGCTCAGTCACTATGGCCTCCCGGCGATGCGGATTGGCGAAATAGTCTGCTAACGTCTTTAGTGGTTGCAACTCCAGTGGAGATGAGTTGTTAATCTCATCTAACACTATACGGAATTTCCTCTGCGCTATATATGCGCGATAAAGAAGCACATCCCGCTCCATTGCCACTTCTGGAGAGGATGGCTGCAAAAAAAGAAACAAATAAAATAAAATAACTGTCAAAACATTATATTACATCCCAGAATCATTGTGCTTTTCTTTATATGTGTATTTACATTTAAAATCAGTTTTAAAAGGCAAAAACCAAAAAGATAATTATGTATCTTTTATTTGTTAATTTGTTTCAATCTTTAAAATTTTAACATTACTACTTTCATAATTATACAAATTTCTACAAAAATTATTAAAGTATTATGCAGAACAATTTTTTTTAATCTTAAAGAGTAGTGATACATATATATATATACATGCATCATTTTGAAAGTGAATACTGTACTAAATTGTCCAATTACTACTTTTGTGCTAAGAACGACAAAGTAAATGTTGTAATTACATGATTAATTTTAAAAATGAAAACGTAAGAAATATTGCACGAGTATCTGGTGAGAGAAACCGAAATGATGGTTACATATGTCAAGAATCTAAAGGAAGTAGGGTGTGGCATTGTGCCTCCAAAAACTATAATTAATGATAATTTTACCTTGATTTTTTGCGCTTCGTTGATACATTGCTGATAATTGCCGATGTAAAAATGATTTCTCACGTCGAAAAGCTCGTCGACATCTTGCTGCTGACGTGCCATCTTGTCACTTCTGGTTATTCCCAGTGACGCCAGATTTGAGACGCAAGCAGTGAGCAATATGAAGGAGGAAATATCGCATTATGCGCAAGCCACGTACATACATGTGAACTCCACGTTTCGGTTAGCTTCGGACACTAGAAAAGAGCAGCCATACTATTTCTGTCTCCTTTCTTAACAGTCAGAAACGCTCCATTTTAGCTTGGATTTTATGAAATGTTAACAGGAGCACATGATGATATAGGAGCTTGCTCTTGACTAGATCAGTACACTTACCATCCTGTACAGTTGTTATATTGTTGTTTTAGCTGATCAAAAGATGGCGCTACTCCGAGTAATCTCTTACAGCATCATGTGCTCCTGTTAACATCTCATAAAATCCAGGCTAAAATGGAGAATTTCTAGTCGGTAATCCAGTGGGTAATCTTAATTTTTCTACATGTTTCTGAGCTACTTTTGACAGTGTTAGGATGCTCGTAAAATATTAAAATAATTAAAACGTCTTTTTTTTTAATTTTTGGAAGGATTTTTGTTGTAAAATTTTTTAGAACATTTTTAAGACGTTCTAAAGATGTCTTATTAGGACATTTTTAGGACTTGCGTTTCAAATCTGGCGTCACCGGCATCAGTTTAGTTTCTTTCCATTGCCATTCTATTTTGACGAAAATTCCTAATGCATAGAATATATCTTGTGCCAATGCAAGAATTATAAAGTACTAAAATCATGTCTGCTACATTCTCGTTGTGGCTGCACTGTATAAGATGCAAAAATCACGAAAAATGGAGGCCGAGGGTGAATACATTGCTTTTATCTAAGCCTTCATCTCTGCAGCAAAATGGGTAATCAGTTAGTGGGCATCGCGCCCAGCCAAATATTTCCAGTAGAACACTATCTGACGGATCACAGCGATTTATTGTTCGATGTAAAGTAAGTGCTCGATCAATTCATTTCACTTCATATGTGCGTTCTGCTAGTCAAGTGCTGTCAAGCCGCATGTTAAAATGCTGCAGGTGTTTGATAATAGAAACAGCTTATTACAAATAATTCATGATGTTATTAATAATATTATAAGTAATATCATGAGACACATGTAATACTTCTTTATTTACTGAGACACAATTTTCCATTGTATTTTAAATGACTGCACACTTTATATTACACAGTAATATTTTTAATAATAAAGCTTTAATGTACACTTGCAATATACACATTGAAAAATTTGTCTGAAAATATTGTGCATAAATATTTATGATAAAATTGATTATAAAAGAATGTTTACACAGTGATATAAGACTAAATAATTTACAAAATTCTTTGTTATCCACAGCTTAGGAAGTACTAGATTTTTCAAAGTGGCTCGAGCTCGTAGCCAGGAAGGCCTGATAGTTGTAAAAGTGTTTGCGATTCATGATCCAACATTGCCATTATCCGCCTATAAGGACAAGTTGGAGGAGATTAGATCAAAACTAGCATCAGCTGTCAACTGCCTACCATTTCAGCGAATGATTGTAAGCACTATAACAGTAAACATATGTTATATGGCTTATTTAGACACTGTTAGAATTAATCATATGCTTGAATTAGCTCACAGAAAAAGCAGGCTCAATAATGCGGGAATATGTCAAATATTCTCTTTATGACAGGATCAGCACTAGGCCATTCTTAACGAGCATTGAAAAAAAATGGATCACTTTCCAAGTATTATATGCTCTTCATCAAGCTCATAAGGTATACTAACATGTATGAGCTATTTAAAAATAAAGCTACTGAAACATCTATAAAAAGTAATATACAATTTAGCAGAAAATTAAACATAATAAAAGTGTCTTTTTTTTTTCTTTTACAGTTTGGGGTTTGTCACGGTGACATAAAACTGGAAAATATTATGATAACCAGCTGGAACTGGGTATTACTTACAGATTTTGCTAGCTTTAAACCAACTTATTTACCAGAAGATAATCCTGCTGATTTCTCATATTTCTTTGATACCTCTAGAAGAAGGTGAAATTTTTATCAGTTATATATTTTTTCCTTTTTTTTTACGTTAATAAAATTACAAAATAATCTATATTTTTCTATTCATATTTTTAGAACATGTTACATAGCACCCGAACGATTTGTAAAAACATTGTCTTCGGAATTGAGTAACACATTGTTGTTACCGGAACAGGAGGTAAAAACTGGCGATTTGCATCCTATGATGGATATCTTTTCTGCAGGCTGTGCTTTAACGGAATTGTACAATGAAGGTCATCCACCATTCGATTTTTCACAACTTTTGGGTAAGTATAATATTTAATTTGATTGCTTTATACAAAAATCTAATTTTTTAAGCTCAAATCTAATTTATTAATCATTTGCATATTTAAATATTTAGCATACAGGAACAACGAATATTCTGTGAGCAAACATTTGGATAGTATAGATGACACGGGAATACGAGAATTGCTTGGGTCAATGTTGGAGAGAAATCCAGCGAACAGAAATAGCGCGGAGATTTATCTGGCTCAAGCTCGCGGCACAATTTTTCCGGAATATTTTTATTCCTTCCTACAGTCGTATATGCTCATCTTTTCCGCCGCTCCGATTTTATCTCCGGACGAGAAAATAACTAGATTAAAGAAGGACATTGGAAACATTATAAATATATTAAAGACGGAAGAAAACGAAGGAATGAAAATAAGCGGAACGAAACCTGTAGAAAACGCGAAATCTAGCCAATGTGAGAGTAACGTGGAATCGATTAAGGACGATTCCGGCCACAGCGAGGAAAATACGATGGTCGAAGTAGACAGCGATCAGAGCTCCGACAAGACCGATTTGAATCAAATTGACATGAAGAGCACGGTGCAAGATGTTGGCAGTGACATGCAAGTGGAAGTGGAGCCGGAGGTGAAATCGTCCGAGGATCAAACGTGTGACGCAGAATCCAGAAAACCAGTTTCCGCCTCGATTGAAATTTTAGAAGGTCTCGTTATTATTACTCAACTTGTCACATCTTGCATAAGAGGTCTGCACCATTCGCAATCCAAATTGCACAGCTTAGAAATATTGCTAGAGCTAGCTGAGAATGTTTCTGACGAGACGATTCTCGATAGGATATTACCTTACATCGTAAGTATTATATTTACAATTGTTGGTTTTTTTAAAAATAAGATATCAAAATTATTTTTTACGAATTTCTTGAGCTGAAAAGATTTCAGGATTTTCCCGATATTATATGAATTAATTATTGTACGCTGCATATTGTGTTAATTAATATATATATTTTTTACAATCTTTTACGCACAGTTCCATTTGGTTCACGATCCGGCACCGCGAGTGAGAGTATCGGCGATACACACTCTGACAAAGTGTTTACATCTTGTGAAATCGATACCATCTTCGGACGTGAACATATTTCCCGAATACATTCTGCCAGGTTTAGCACATATAACTCAAGACGACGCAGTTATCGTCAGGGCAGCTTACGCGGAGAATATCGCACATTTGGCGCATATCGCTCTGCGTTATCTAGAGAACGCACATCTGTCCAACTTGGGCAACAAAGAGGGACCAAAGCCGAGTTATGATAGCGAGCTGCAAACGTTGCACGAAATGGTACACACAAATAAATATTTTCATTGACACAATATCTATAACATTTGTAACTCATGAATAGAAGAAAGTAACGCAATTTGCTGTAATTTTAATCATTTGAAATTAGTTGAAACACTTAAATTATCTCATTTTGATAATGGTTTTTTTTTTTAAATATCTTTTCTGTCTAGGTTCAACAATCGGTGTCTATGTTGTTGACGGACCCTCACAATTTAGTGAAACAGACTTTGATGGAAAATGGAATAAATAAATTATGCGTGTTCTTCGGCAAGCAGAAAGCTAACGATATTTTGCTCAGTCACGTTATTACCTTTTTGAACGACAAGGAGGACAAAGAATTGAGAGGTTCCTTCTTTGAATGTATCGTCGGTGTGGCCGCGTATGTCGGTTGGCATAGCAGTCCCATACTAATGCCGCTCCTACAGCAGGGTCTGTCCGATCCTGAAGAATTCGTGACTACGAAAGCCATAAATGCTATGGCAACGCTTACGGAGTTAGGCTTGCTGCACAAATCTGCTCTCTATCAGCTGTTATCAGAAACTATGGTCTTCCTGGTACGTTATCATCATGATGGCAGAGATGATTTGATAAATATTTAATACACGGGCATTTAATATGCAATTCAGATTGCTTTTTCTTATAAAAAATCCTTTTTAGAAATTTAGAACCAATATTTTTTCATTGATAAATTTATAATAAAATTATCAAAAGATTGTAAAGTATTAAAAATTTTGACAAAAGCAGTAGGCTCTCAAATTTTCTCGCTGAAGAAAAATTAAACTTATTAAAGAATGTGAAATTAAAAATTAATTTGACAGTTTTAAGACATTTTTCTTTGTAGGTTCATCCAAATCTATGGATACGGCATGCAACCGTCGGCTTTATATCTGCAGCAGCGAGAACTCTAAATGTGGTGGATGTTCAGTGTAAAGTTCAGACGATGCTTCAACCGTACTTGAAGCACTCGTTAATTCAGATAGAAAAGGAGATTTTATTACTAGAGGCTCTCGTTCCTCCCATATCCAGAATAGTGTACGACTCCGTGGTGAAATATAACGATGTGGAAGAGTTGTTCCAAGTGCTCGAACAGAGGCAGGCAGCTAGAGCGAAAGCCAGAACGGGCGTGGTATCGCCACAATACAACGATATGAGTACTTCTTTACGAAATGTAAGTAATGTTAATTATTAGCGGTCTTCAAAATAATATTTAAAGAAAAGACAAATTCTACTCTACAATAATAATAAAATTAAATATTAAAATACATATTTATCTTGTGACAGAAATTTGTGTCACACACTAGCGAATAAAACGCCTCACATGATATTATTAGTGTACAAAGAGATACAAAAAGAAGCAATCTTTTTTAGCTTTTCAGGCGATTGAGCTCGGAGTCGATGACGGAAGCGGTTGAGAATCAGTTGCTGATCATGAAGCCGCACTTGATGAAGATCAATAAGTACCGTAATTCCGCGGACACGAAGCAGAACGCCGTCAAGCCCGCGGACGGTAAGCTGGAGTTAAGTCCGATAAAGGATCGAATAAGACATCACGTCGTCATGTTGTATCCCGACACCAAAGGAGACTTAGCTCTGCCACCTTTCAAGAGGTTAGACCGAAGAACGTCGGAGACTGTTGGCACGTACGCAACGATGAATCAAGAATGGCGCACGATGTTTGCAGCTCAAGACAGCGCCCAGGTATTATATCGATGATACATTGCTTTTTATATTGTTCTGTGCGCTAATTCTACACTTATTTCACTACTGCGACAGCATGCTATCGTCAAAATGTCGGACATGACTGGAAGCAGCGGCAGTCCTAGTCAAAGCATACACAGCGGGGACATACATTTATCACCACATCATTGTCTGTCGGATATGGCCAGCATAAATTCCCTCATGAACGATCATTCGCTCCACGAACGATCTTACATACAATGTAAGCGAGATTAATGCAAATATAAAAAAAAAAAACAGTTTTAACTTGAAGATTTGTTTCTGTGAAATTTTTGTAGAAGATAATTAAATTAATAATTGATTTAAATGATTGCTTTTGCAGATAGGTGCGCGCCCTGTCGATTGGAGGTGCGGCAGCTGACGTGCCGGAAGCAGGAGCAGCACGCAGCGGTATTGAGAGCGAAGCGTTGGGCCAACAACGTCGCCTGTGAAGCTGGTAAATAAATATCAAATCTCAGCCGGGATTACATTACATTATATTTTAGGATTATCACGATGTGCTTGCTTATTCATTATTGATGTTGCTTAAAAGGCTCCACATCACTGCCGAAGGACTGGAGGCCCCGTGGAGTTCCGGTCGCGCATCTTCACGAGCACAGAGCTGCAGTGAATAGATTGGTTTCGATACCGGATACCAACTTATTTGCGAGCAGTTCCTCGGACGGATGCATCAAAATCTGGGACGCCAGCAAGATGGAGGGACGAAATATTGCTAATCGTTCTAGGTACATTTTTCTTTTCTTCCAAGACAATTACGTATAACAAATGCTTGCACTCTTCTTCACTCCAAAATGATTATAAAATTAATTTAAAATTCAAATCATACGCAGAACATTTCTGAATCCAATTACTAGAAATTAAAAACTTGACTTTTATCATCTTTCAGATTGCAATATCATAATATTCATTTTTTAATATTGTGTTCTAAACAGACAGACATACATGCATAGAGGAGGTCCGCTGATTGGTTTGACCGCGTGCGACCAAGGGCAGTCTTTAGCGAGTTCCGCGAGTACATCCGGAACGGTATTCGTACTTCGGATCGAGCCGAACTCTAGTAAAATGAGTCTGATTGGCACTCGTCAGTTGGATCTCCAGGTAACGGAGAAATTTCTGTAACAATATAAATATTTAATGCACTGAACTTTTATTTAAAAAATATGTCGGGACTGATTCGACAGGAAGAAGGATGCGCTGTCGACATTCAATATTTGGACTCCGGCTCGCAATCTGTTCTCGTGTACGCCTCGTTGTACGGATCGCTGGTAGGCTGGGACTTGCGGTGTCCCGGCACAACGTGGCGTCTGGAGAACGACTTGAAGCACGGAGTCATCACGTCGTTCTGCGTAAACAGTCATCAGCAGTGGTTGACTCTTGGCACAAGTTCGGGCATGCACATCTGTTGGGACTTGAGATTTCAGCTACCGATAACGGCCATCAAGCATCCGACAGGTGAATGATCGCTGATTTAATTCCACTGATACTCTTGTATCGTTTATTTGCAAAGTCAATAAATATCCTCGTAAAAGTGATGTAGCTTAAACCGCTGTTTACCGTTTTTTTAAGGCGCCAGAGTGCGAAAGGTGATCACGCATCCGACGGAGCATTCATGGATCATCTCGGCGGTGCAAGGCAACAACGAGATTTCCATGTGGAATCTGGAGACGAATCATCGACAAATGGTTCTGTGGGCGTCGAGCGCGCCGCCGTTGAGTCGCGCGCAGGTCGGCGACAGCGTATGGGCTATGTACGCCGGGTGCATCGATTGCTCGGGTTTCCTTCTGGCCGGCGGTACCGATATGCGATTGCGCTTCTGGGATTTCAGCAGGCCCACCGCGTCTTACATCGCCCTGCCTGCCGCCAACGACGTTCTCACGCCGAATTCATTGGCATACGAGTCAGTCATGAAATTCATTCATCTTTGTCCGATACGTAATGTCGTGTGATTGCGCGTTAATACAAGATGTCGCCTTTCCTACTTACAGTTTACGATTGATCGACGGAACGAACGTCGTGCAGGAGGTGTTGGTGGACGAGGATTCTAACCCGTCGTCCGGAAGTGACATGAGAGGAAGAAACTTGGAGGAGAGCGGCCCCGAGACTCCCCCCTCCGGCCAGCACGACACGATCTCCGCTGTTGCTATGTCGAACATGTGCGTCCTCACCGGCAGCACGGATGGCCTGATACAAGTCTGGAAATGATTGTTCTCCTCACTCGAGCGACGAGGTTTTATCACTCTGCAATGCGGAATTTCTTTTCTGTAATAACGAAAACCGTTGTGATCCAAGTAAGAAATAAGTTATTTTGAAATGGTCCAGGCGCAAACTCGATAGCGCCGGGCAGAATTTATAGTCTATCTCAATATCTAATTTATTCAGGGGACAGGCGGAGGAATTGTTACAGCGATGTGAATGCGATACCGCGATATTTCATTTTCGCAAGATTACTAATCATTTTTTTTAACAACTTCATGATTTCATATATTAAAAGTCCTGAGAATAGCGCATTCACATCGCACACTGTTCAAATGAACTATACAAGTCAAATCTATTTATTTTGACTTATATAATTTAATAGGAATTAAATTCCAAAATACAATTTTTTATAGGTACAAGAAATATAAATCGATTGTTTCAATTAATAATTATTATTTCAATTCAAGTTATATTTATGTTGTTCAGTTTTCTTGAATGACGTTAGGAGCTCTCGCTTTTTTCTTGAACCACAAACATCGACGTACGCACGACGCCGTGCTGTACTAATTCTGTGATCCCGGACTGTACATAGAGCATGTAATATACGCGATATTTAACGATTACCGATGGTTGCGTCATGGAGGCGTGCATTTTTCTTAAGAAAATCCAAATTCACATTATCGTGTAATAGTGTATATAGTTTATTTTTGTACGTAAAAGAAGAGAGAGCTTCAGAGTATTACCGATGTATTAGACAAATGTAATAGTTTTGGAATTGTTGATTCTGTAAAATAGACATCTGTCTAATACGCAAATCGATAGACAGGCCTTCGAGATATCTGAGTATCCGCGGATGCTTAGCGGGTTCATAAGCGCACCGTAAATCTAAAAAGAGAAGTTACGCAAACCACGAAGTAACTTTGCAGCACAGTAGAACGTTTTTGCAATCATAAAGTGTTCAAGAAAATGATTCATAAACTTCATTTTCACGGACTAACTGTACCTCGAACAATTTTCCTTTACTCTGATGCCAAGTTGCTCTCAGCTAAGTTTTATAGGTTTTTCTTTTTCTTTTTTTTTTTTTAAATTTAACATGGGTGCGAGTATGGACTGAGAAATGAGGCATGCAAGATTCGTGTACGAGCGATGTGACACATAGACAATTATTTCCTCGCTTTGTACTTTATATGGCGTACAGTAGTAGCTGCAGTGTAATCGCGAGTATTTATGTATATTAGTTGCTATAAAATATTCTCACACATACACACTGATACACACATGTACATGAAAGAACACATATGATCATACATCAAACACTGACTGAAATACTCATAATCAGTGAACGTATATCGTCGACAGCTACGTTGTTACAATAAATTCATATTTTTAACGCATGATATCTTTACATTTGGCACGACAAACCGGGGAGCTTTCTTTACCAGGGACAGACGGGCGCGGCGGGATAAGGCGCGCGTCCTGCGAACGCGTAAGGATCAGGATTAATCGTCCTGCAGATCTGCTTCCAGCGCTCCTTACCGCCTCTGTTTTGACGGTATTGCTGGTTTGGTCCGTTTGCATTGTATCCGTTGTTTCGACTATCGTACGAAGGAAACCATAGGTCGAGCCAGGGTGCGCAAATAGCGGAACTAACCAACAGCAGCAGCAGGAAGATTAGCTTCATTTTCACATCTGCGAACTCTGGATGTTTTTTTAAACTGAGATGATCTGAAAAAAAGGAAGATTATTTCTGTATTTTGATTTTTCATGAAGATTCGTGAGTGTTTAAATTCCTTAAATGAAATCTTTCTGATTGAAATTTAATCTTATTCATTTAGGGTTTTTTGAGATCTTGTTTAAGGTATCTATTTTTCACTGATAAATAACTATTATTTTCTTATAATTATCTACGATCAAGTGAATATTTTGTAAATAGAGAATGAAAGTTTTGTTAAAATTGCAGTTGATTTTAGTGTACGAGTGCTTCCACAAAATATCACAAGTAGCAATGCACAAAAGTAGACGAAACGGAAACACGTTCACGCACTAAAAGATATATGATGAAAACGTCGTTGCGTCACGGGCTCTTTTTCTTGGTGACTTTCAAATTTCACACTTTCTGAGTTCTGAGAGACACTCTTTCTGAACACTATGTCGTCTCATTAATAATTCACAATTTACATTCTTAAATTTCCATATAGAAATTAACATATTAAAATTAAAATCACATATAATTTTGCTGTAAGATGACTGTGGAAGAGCAAGGATGTGATAATCTGTTTTTACCTAATTGTAATCGCTGTGACAAGTGAACACTACCGCAGTGGTGAGATGCTGGGTGCTTACTGCTGTTTTATATACCGCCAACCTATCGCCCTACCGCTCAGAAAAATACATAGTGATGAATCCGCGGTGCTTTTTGATGATGAATCTCCCCGCACTTGGTTGCACAACGATTGCTTTTAATAAGAAGAATATGTAATACTCTATCGTGATTATTCACAATACGTCATATGAATACTTGAATTGGAATAACAATCTAAGAGTATTAACATGCTCAACGCGTTAAACTTTATCTTAGCGATTCAAACTTCGATTTTTATAACAGACTTCCGAATTTATGATTAATCTATGTTTAATGCACTCTTAGTTTTTTTTTCCACATTTTTATATCATTTGAATCTGTTGTTTTTGTTCTTTCGGAATTTTCTAAACATTTAGAATTCAAGTATACGATCTGTCTTGTAATTTTGCATTACAGATCTTGGAATTTTGAATTTATGATCCATAAATTTCAGTTTCACGAAGTTCTAAAGATCTAGATTTATTCTTCTACGAAGAGATCAAGCAGATAGACAGATTCTATATCCAGATAATTCCGTTTCTTCACGATTATTTCCTCGATTTGAGATTCTACACGTGCTGACGAAATGACGCACGTGTTTGAGCGTTTTTGAACTTGGGGAATCCTATTCCATTGTCCATACCGATTCACATGCGATATGCGTAGCGCTTATTCGTTCTTTCATTCATGTATTCCGCGCACGCAGAGAATATCGTTCGCGTAGAACGCAGAAGACGCATAAAACGCTGATTCTCCATTATAATTACTCATTTCTCTGGCACGTGGCCGTATCTTATGATAATGACATTTTCACGTGATTCTATGCGACGCAAAAGGAAAAGGAAAGAAAAATGAAAATTATGTACGCTAATAACGATTATTCGAAAGCAAACACAGCTAACTGCATCGATGCACGCGATTAGATCGGATCGCGTTCGGTTCCTCGATTAGCATTCGATGTTTAATTCATAAATCGCAGCTTTCGGCTGCGTTTATGTACATATCCGCGAATCCGGTGTTCTGCATAAAATAATAATTTCGCAAACGCTGCCAGGCACGTCGTTGCATATCGTGCGTGTATTCGATCATGAAGTGCATCGCCGGGTGCGGCATGCATTTTCTCGAAATTGCGAAAAAAGATCGCGTGACTCACATTATAATATATACAGATATATATATATATATATATATTATATATATATATATACACATACACACACAGATATATATATATATGTATAGTCCGCGAGGCAAATTGATCCACGATATGTGCAGTTTTCATCCTCGCTTCTTCCTATTTCTTCCGCGCTGGCGACGAACTTGATTGGAAGTTGCTCTACATCCGAATATCGTGTCAAGGACGCTGCTTACGCTGATACCGAAGACAGCAGCGGGTTATCTTACCCGCAAACTTGACACACTTTTCGCGCCGAGTCGCGAAATGATTGCGTTGATTAATGGAGCACAAGCCGCCCTTTAATCCGTTCTTTCTTTCAAGCTTATGATTTCGGTATTATTTTTGTTAATGTTATCTGAACTAAGCGGCGACGTAGAAGATTTGAATTAGAATCTGAAAAAAACAATAAGTAAAATTTACAATTGCTTGCAATAATACTTTTTTGGAAATTATAATTCTATTTAGAAGGAAAGTGAATTTACTCACTCAATTAACATTAATTCATGTCGATGCAATCAGCCTTAAAGCTTTAACGTAGATCCTAATATACAATTATCGGGCTTCTGGAGTTCGTCATCTTATAATTCCCGACCTTATTTACCTCGCACGCAATCTCGCAGGAAACTGACGACAATATACCAGTAATCAATGTTTAATACACATAACACTGATTGTGAGTTATATATCACTCGTGAGAAACTAGGTCACACATAATCAAATAAAAACTCAAGTGGCCTCGAAGGATCTCGAGAGTTAATAAGCCCGTTTATCGATGACTCATAAATTGCAGACGAGGTCGATCATTTCACGCAATTTCATATTCACGAGCCACCCCTCGTACTCGATCCTTTCCGTTTAAGGGTAAGCTAGGATTATAGGCTGTTGAACACTAACTAGATTTACTCCACAATTTCCTATTAACGTAATCATCAGTCAGCAGCTGACTATTAATAGTTTTTTGGCTAGAGAAAAGCCATTTAGCAGTTTTATACAAGCTCGTAATAGCGTAGCATGTAAACGAGCGATTTTTCATGCTTAGTCGAAATTCAGTCGCAATCCACAGTTATAAATATAGATAGATCTATGAATAAAAATAATTTTATAAGTTCAACGTCGCAGACAATAAATATATAAGCGATTTGAGGAAGTTTTTCCCGGCTTACTCGTGCGAATTGTTGGCGAGAAGTTCCAGAAGCACATTCTCCGAGAAATATTTACAACTTCTCTCCGAGAATTAATCTTGATTCAGGCCAGGTCTGACATTTTGGAATTTGGGCCGGGTCAAGGTAGTTTCATGCGTGTCAATTATAGTTATAAGTCGATTTATTGAGACTGTTGTTGACGGAAACAACAAACGGGCGGAAACAAAGTTTTAAGAATTCATATATCAAATAAATATAAAAATTATTTCTCGTCAAAACTCATATGCCAGCCAATAATTACGACCTTAATCAGCAAGGTGACATAAATTACATCTTGATGAAATTAATTAATCCGCATCCGGTAGTTGCAATCCAACCATACCGTTGGAAACGAGTCGATGGACGATGTCCGATGCGTTTAAAATTGTCCGGACACGCCGCAAATACGCGCTCGTGTGTCGCTTCTCGTTGTGGATTTGCAGACATGCCGCGTCTGGTAAATCGTCTAAATATTTTGGCTACTGCAGGCTTCATCAAAACTATTTCGTGCAAAACAGCCGGCTGCACCACGTGCGTCAGTTCCGCTCCGCTCGACGCTCGCTGACAAGCGTTTCATCAAGACTGTCCTTGTTGTCGTCGGGAACACGTTTTTCGTTTATCACCGAGTCCGAATGTCGAATTCCGATAGTTACGTCGACAGTAAAGGTAGCTGCGAGTCTGTCCACCCATCCAGCCTCTCGGTAAAGATGCAACATAGTCTAAGGAAAATGAGAAAGAGCATCCAAAAAATCACTGGTACGATTCATCTTCTTTTTATAATAATTGCGCACTTAAAGCGTGGCATTGATAAACAAAAGTAACTAAGCAGCACTTTGCTAGAACTACGCGTAACTCCAGTTCTAATTTAATTATAACTTTCAAGTCCACATCATTCGAAATGTCGATGCGAAAGATTTAATGAAAGAGAGTTCATTGAAGTTACAATTTAAAAAAAAAACACGGTTGTTCTAATATTAATAATTCTTATGTAAATCAGATTATTTCCAGCGAAGAGTCATCGTATCGAGCCTCAATTTTAGATCCTACGCATATACATCACAGAATTGTTTGATTACATTTTTACAGAGAGCATCCAGGAGGACAAGCATTCACCGTACATGTTTCCCGAGCAACTTTCCACCCTGACCTGGCGCACTGGCTTCTCCAAGGACGAGATACGCAGGCTGTACCGCGCCTTCAAGCAGCTGTGCCCGAGGGGATGCGCGACGACTGGCGATTTCAGGCCCGCGTATGCCAAGCTGTTCCCGTTAGGCGATCCAGCCAGGTACGCACAAGTGGTGTTCAACAGCTTCGACAAGGACGGCGACGGTATCGTCAGCTTCAGCGATCTCCTCGGAGCCATGGCGACGATCATCCACGGCAACGTGGACGAGAAGCTTTCTTGGATATTTAGGTAAGAGCTCATCCATTTCTTTCCATTGTTTCTTATTGAGTTCTCCGATAAATTCAGGGAACAATTTTCTCTCGCACAGAATTTTTCGACAGATTTAATTGTGGAGTTATTTGATCTTCAACTGTGGGAATCAGAAAGGATATTTTATTTTAAAAAATTGATTAGATTCTTTGATCTGTCTAAAGACGATTTTTCTTCAACTAAATTGACGATCTCGAATCAAGAAGTGAAATACTCACTGGATGTACTGTCTATCAGGTTCTACGATCTGAATAGGGACGGTTGCATCACGAGACGGGAAATGCTGGCCATAATATCCGCGATTTACGAGATGGTGCAGGACGTGCAAAGTATCCAGCCCGCGGTTAAAAGCCAGGTAGACAAGTTCTTTGAGAAAATGGATACGAATAGAGACGGCGTGGTCACCAGGGAGGAGTTCATGAGCGGATGTAAAAATGTATGGGCTAAGAATATTCTATTACGTTATGAGGATAATGAATTTGGATTTGACACTAGAAGGACTGTGTTTAGGAGAAGAATAAAAGCTTAAAAGTTGCCTTCTATCAAACAATCTATCATATTTTACATTCATATCATTTGCTAGATTCAATGTTTATTAATATCGACATCAATATCCATTCAAAATTTATATATGATTTACGATTTATAGATGCATTGCAATCAGTCTTTTTAGTGTTAAAACTCAGTATAATGCAATAAAATCTATTTCGATAACACGAACGTAGAAGCGTATGTATATATTGGAAAACTTCATAAATTCTATTTTTTACAGGACACTATTATATACAACCAGTTATTTTTATTTGATAAGATTTGGTGACGGAATGAAAACGATTTTAAAATATTAACGAGTGACTTATCCATGTGTAAAGTTATTAAAATATTTACAAAAACCCACCTTTGTTTCCCTCTCACTCGTTACTAGTACATATCACATTATTTCGTATAAATAAGAATTCCTGTGCTCACATTAGAATATCCCGAAATACCTTAGTCCCATAATTATCCACTCAGAATAACCTTTTTTGTAGAACATAAAATACGCAAGCTAGGAAAAAGGCGAAGGCTAATATGAGCAATGCTTTATCGGTGACCTCGCGTCTGCCGTATTTTCCTAACAGTTTTCCAGATTGTAATATGACCTGTTGTTGATGCTCCAACTCATCCTTAGTGTCGCCAACTTTGTCCGAAGATGTTACTGCAATAAATCCATAGAATTGTGATACTTGTAATTATAATAAATTACATCAAATAATATAATGCGATACATACGTAGGGTGTCCAAAGTGTCAGCACTTCTTTGAGTTGTTTCAGCCAAATGCCTCGAAATGCTTAACAGTTTGTCTGTTATCTGGCCAGATGAGTTCGCCAAACCCTGTTTGTCATGCCGTCTACGAAGAGCATTTTGTTGCTCCTCCGGCATCGAAAAGAGATTCTCCCTCGCCAATTTATCAATAACGCAGGCACTGACAACATTGGCCTTGCGAAAAGCTGCTAAAGTAGTGTTTAATTGTTCTTTATAACTGCTCACATCGGACAGAAGCTTACTTTTTTCTTCCTTATTTGTTACATTTTTCACAGCTTGAAGTTCTAAGTTGTCTATAGCTTCTTTTAACGATGCTATTCTGAGTCTACCCTTTGCATTCAGCAGATCTAGCATCTCCAGTGGTCCGTTGCATTGTTGTATATCCTTGATAAAAAATACATTATTATATTAATTCGTTATTGATATTAATAAGATAATTAATAATTTATTAAAATATAACTGTTAATTTCGTACATATTGTTAATATATTTAACAATCTTGTGATGAATGTAACGCTAAGGTTAGATTATTTTTTTACACCGCTTTAATATATTTACTTGAATTATAGCGTTGATTTCGAGAAGGTCCTTGACTATTATTTGTCGAATATATTCTGCATGAGTCTTAGGATCCATTGACTACGTAAATTATTTATCTTACGTTACTTCTCTGTATATGTGATACGTAAGCACCAAATTTCAATCAGCTGATCCAGCCAGATGTAGACTTGTCACTGCTACACTTCAAACATAACCTCTAAAAAAAATCAAAATAAACGAGATCAAAGTGATAAAACAAGTAGAAGATAAATAATAGAAGAGAAACCCAAGTATAAAAAAAATTCAGAATCTATATTCAAATTGAAGACCATGTGTTCATTCAAGATACTTAATCTATGAAAATAAAATGCTTATTAAAATATATATTTCTAATAACTGTGTGTCTATTTCTTTGACACAACTTGGTTTTCTAAATTTATTTTATAATTAATAATTTTAATTTTCTTTAGATAACAGTTTTAATGAGAATCATAATATATAATTTATCTATATATTTATTTTTTTTACTAGAATAACAATTAATAATAATATAAATATAATCTCTACGCGTTAACGCAATTTATTATATATAGATATTATACAAGTTGTACATGTCATGCTATTAAAGAACTAATTATGCAACCGGATTTCCACGATCACACAACGTGCAGAGAAATTTCTTTTTGTTTGCATATTACTGTTTACAAATAGGAATTTACATTATAGACTTCTAGAATTTACATTATAGACTTCTAGAATTATATAATTTTACAAATTTCATAACATATGTAAATTAGATATACCCTATAACGGGTGTGGCACTACAATTCATATGATTATTTCAGATTTTCCAGGTAATTTCGATATAATAAATTTACGACCCAGAATCTTCTACGTCCTTCTATGTCGAGCTTTCTCGTTAACGTAGGCTGTTTATTACAGCGGCGGTGAAATCCGTCGTTGAGCTTTGCCCACCGAGATCTTTTGTAAGCACCTTTCCATCATTCAACACGCGATTCAAAGCCTCTCGAATCTGCTCACCGTAACGTTTAAGATTCACGTGATTTAGCAGCTTTACCGCACACAAAAACAATGCCGTTGGATTTGCGACATTTTTGCCGACCGCTTCGGAATATGTGTGCCTTGCACCCTGTTGGAAAATGTAAATCTTAATATGTAAGGTTTTATTTTTTAGAAATTAGCGTAAAGAAGCGTCAAATTCGAGAATACAAAAATTTCTCTTTCCATATGAATCTAATTGCATTATGTGATTGTAGTTTTTACGTTATGCAAATATAAAGCCAAACGTTTGTGTGTTACCGGTTCAAAAACGACACATTCGGCGCTGTAACTAGCACCAGCGACGACTCCTGCACCACCGACCAAACCGGACGCGAGATTGTCCACAATATTTCCATACAAGTTCGGCATTACCATGACGTCGAATTGGTGCGGATTGGAAACCATTTGCATGGTGCAGTTGTCGACAATCATCGTCTCGAATGTAATCCTATGTTATTAGAAAATAGAAGTATAAAATATTTTGCAATAATTTAAAAAGCAGTTAATATATATAGGAAAAACATTATTAAAGCACCTGGGGTACAATTTGGCAATTTCTTGGCACGATCTGAGGAAGAGCCCGTCACCGAGCTTCATTATGTTAGCTTTATGAACACATGTAACTTTCTTGCGATTATTTTTTACAGCATAATCAAACGCAAACTTTGCGATTCTTTGGCTCTTAGTAGCAGTTACAATTTTCAGACACTCAACCACTCCTTTGACAGATTCGTGCTCTAATGCAGAATATTCTCCTTCTGTTTGTTCTCTGATAATAACACAGTCTACATTCTGATGCCGTGATTTAATGCCCGGCAGAGATTTTACGTGTACAACGTTTGAATATAAATCCAAGCTCTTACGTAATTTCATGTTCAGAGTCTGCAACTCTCCAGTCATGGAGTGATCTGGAGTTGCTAGGATACCCTGTAAAAAATATACATAATTGTTAGAAGATTATTCTTTGAGACCTTGTTAAAGAATATAAATACATATTCTTTAACATGCAATTGCATATGTCTTCTCTAACTAAATATATAAACTAAAACATTTATATACTTTAATTATTAATATTGTGCAGTATTTATTATCTTTGAAATGTAGATTGCAAATCTAATCTAGATTACATATCTAATCATTTGATATGCAATCAAACCTTTAAACAGACTCGATTCCTAGCAATACTGTTGGAGACTTGATCCAGAGGAGCGCTTAGAGTTGGATTTACTTCAGACAGGAAATAAGGTTCAAACTCAACCGGGACATCTGCAGCTTTGAACACACTCTGAACCGCGACCACAAGTTCTGGTCCAACACCATCTCCTGGTATCAAGGTACATTTCAGTTTTCCTTCTTGTTCGACTGTCTGAAAAAAGAATGATTGTCACATATGTCCAACTGTTAATTAAAAAATAATATAATAAATAATACGTACTGGTTCTTGTTGCAGTATTGAGCCTACATGCAGGGCTCTAACTGTGCTCTTCTGAGCAGCCTGTGAACACAAAGTATACAAATTACAATTGTATCTTTACTATCTTGCCTTCCAGATTGTTTCAACTTTAAGATCTCTACATCTGATCTTCTTAATTAATGATGATTGCTATTAATTAAGCACTACTTTTAATTCTACTTTATTGTTTGGCTCAAATATGATTATATGCCTATGAGTTCCATTAGCCATGTTTCTCAGTGTTGAGATTAATCCTTCTTGCATAACTACATTCAAACTTTCCGCTTTTTCGATAGATAAAAAATGTCTTGATTGAGTAACATAATAAGTGAGTTCGGATCGTGTGCTCTAATCGATCTATATTAATTCACACATCAGATAATCACAGAATGTATTCGCAGTGAATCGAAATGAGCGCGTTTCTAACGGTTTCAGGAACGGTTAGAAATACGTATATTTCGGATAAAAATACTCGAATGTGTAATGCCCTTGTGATTGTCTTCTACGCCAAAGATTGTTGCTTTATTTTTACGTGTGATAATTATTGCTCCTTTAATCCATGCTACGTATTCTTTCCACTTACAGGCACACACAACGGAATCACGAAATAGAAAAAAAGGACATATTACCTGGGAGAGCGTTTTGTAGATGTTTCTCGTTAGTAAAGCCATTTTCGACGACAGAGCCGAGTACCGACTGCCTATCTTGCTCGCACTCGTGCATGCAGGTGCGTAATCATGCGCAAAGCTGTCGTATTAATTTAATCAAATTAATTTGTAAAACTTAATAAGTGAATTCTTTAACTTCCTAAACATTGACTCAGAAACATT